CGAGCAAACAATATTCAAGTAAATTTGATCAGTTTCCCATGTTTCCAAGCCCACAAAATTCCAAGGGAAAGATGGCTGCTGAGAGGCAAGAGCTGCTTTTTCCCTTTTTGTTCAGTTCTCATTTGTAACTGGACCATGAATGATTAATGCATTCATTATAGTGCTTGAGCCTTGCATGAGTCTAGTTTCATACATTATTGTTTTCTTCTTTCCCAGTGTGATTGGCCAACTATCTCATCATGAAACCTCTGACTTAACAGTAATGTCTCGATATTCCCCCCGTTCTATCCTTGAGGCTCTTCCAATATCGTCTCCTCCACACCCAGTTCATAATGTGCATCATCATGGTTCCCCTGCGAATGTGTTCAACATTGTTAACCACAGCAGTAAGAACCATACACTGCTGTAGCTTATGAATGGAAAGGAAAGTACTTGTGCCAGGCATGCCTTTGGCTTTGCCTATACAATCAACAGACCAGCATTTGGCAGGGGATAACGTCTAGGCGAAAAATCATCTTCGTGACAAGGTCAGATTCAGATGCTACGTCTTGTAGGTGAGTTTCTGGCACGGGTTGTTACTTACCTGTGTAGGTTATTGCCTCCTTTTCAAATGAAAAGGCTTCTGGTCTGGAAGTGTACCCTGTACTGGGAGTTGAGAAACAATTTTGTATTCTGTTTTTGTTTTTTCTTTTTTCCCCCCATTTTTTAGAGCTTCAGTAATGGCGACATCTCATTGATCATTCCTTGGTATTGGGGTGGGAAATCGCCACTTCCATGTACAACTTTAAGCTGAATTTGTAGATAATAGAATGTTTGAAATGGAATCATATGGTCCAACAGCGATTCCTTTGAAATTTTCTTTCTTTCTTTCTTTGATTCCAATTGACATGCAGTTTACTTTTGTCTTCTCTTTGTTTTCCACTTTCATACAAGTTCTCAATCAACTTCATTCCATTTAAAATCCTATTTTAATCTTACAACCTCTCGCAATTAACCAAAATCATCAACCACTCAGGAAAAACAGTTGTCCACTCTTCAATAAAGTTGCTGTCCATCACCATTTTTGCAATACCGTGGGCTATGAGATTTGCTTGGACATAGACTTGTACTCTAAGCCACATTTATGGTTTTTGGTATCGATTTCGAGGTCTAAGAATTTCGTGAAATACAGAATTTACCAGCACTAAAACAGAGTATATTCATTTTATCTCAAAAAAAAAAAAAAAACAGAGTATTGATGGAAGTTCAGAAATCAAAGTAGAACAATTTAAAATATTAGAACCAAAATACAATAACTATAACGAGGAGTAGGAAATATGGGAGTGCAGCAACGACGTCGTCTCGTCTGGTCATTATGAAGCAGATGTGTTTTGTTGTTTTTGTTGTTGCCATTTTTCAATTCAATTGGCCAATAGTGGTAGAGTAGTGTAGTGTGGTGCCACGTGAACTTTATTTTCCTTACTATTTTCAATTCCCAATTCCAAATTCCCAATTCCCATTCCCACAGAGAGAGAGAGAGAGAGAGAGAGAGAGAGAGAGAGAGAGAGAGAGAGAGAGAGATGGAAGCTCCAGCTCCACAAGCCATAGAGGTTTCCAGCAACAACTTTGGGGGTGAAGAAGATGAACGAGATAAAGCCATCAATGAGTGGTAATTCTTCATTTCTCTTCTGCCCTTTTTGCCTTTGTTTTACCCTTTTCTTTCCCAATTCTGTGTCTCTAATTTTCCATTGGGTTTGCTTTGTTGAGTGTTCTGATGGGGGGATTGGTTTTATATGTAATCAGCTGTTCTTGCTTTTACAACTGCTCGGAAGGCTGCTTTGATTTCCTGTGCTGCTTCGAACTCTGCAATTGTTAGATGCCAAAATATTTCGATTTGCTGCAAATACAATATAGGGGAAACAGGAGAGGAATCTCTTTTGCTTTTACCTTTTACCTTTTGTTGTATAATTTAATTTGGTAATCCACAAAAATAAGCTGTTTTTTTACTGTTCTACTCTCAGCACATAATTTGATAATTCTCTTCCTTTTCCCTTCCCTTTCGGCTTGCTTGGAGCGATGTTTTTTTGCCAATGCTTCTTTGCGTGTTTGAAACAACCATTCTTCCACTTATGTATGTGCAAATAAACTACATAAGAATACTTCTCACAATCTTGTGGTTT